TTTGGGAGTGAGTTCTCGCCCTGCCTGTTGTTGTGTATGCTAACCAGTCTCAGGAGGTCAGGACGTGCGCTGTGGAGGTGGCACCTCGATGGTGAGAGGAGGGAAGGGGTGCCCAGGGCCAGAGCTGGTGCGGGGGATGGCGAGCCACTTCTCCCCAGTAGAGCACACCGGGCTGCGGACATGTCTCACCTGCAGGCAGTGTGCCACGCAGGCTCGCAGGCTCGGTGACACCCTCCCCTCAGAGGAACTGCAGCGGGAAGCAGGGCCCTCCCGGGAGCTGGGCCGAGGGGACTGGCAGCTGCTGAGCGTGACTGAGCCATTCCTAGGAAAGCAAAACAGTCCTTTTAAAACATAAGCTCGAAATTATAGCAGCAGAGACTTGAGGCTGTGGCTTTCTTATTATTTGATTCTCAGGATGACAAATCCGTCAAGGCAAATACAAACTTAAATAAAATGATACACAAGGACACTTCTAAGCTCTGAGTGTCTTCCGACAGAGAATCTGGTTTTCTTCTGAGGCGGGGGCGGAAAGCGGCCTTCCAGGTCCCCATCCCTGAACTCTGGAGATGAGTCACCTCCCCGCACAGTGCCCCTGGGAGTGCGTTCATCACCCACCAGAATTTACTCTTCAGGGGCGTCTAGCCTGGCAGCCAGTGAGTTCTAAGGGCAAAGGCTGCAGATTAGTCATACACCGAACAGAAAGCCGGCTGCAAAGGGATGTGTTCGAATGAATACTGAGTGACCCAAAGAAGACTCACAGGCCCCATGGAAGGCAACAAGCAGAAGGCAGAGTCCATTAGGTCCCCCCGACCTCGACTGTCTTCCTCTCAGGCCCCATCCCTACAGGCGCAATTTACCATGCCAGCCTCGGCCTCTCCCAGTGCCTCTGCCACTGCCTTGCACTTTTCACCTCTGTCAAAGCCTTCACTCACTCCCCCCTTTTTCATGTTTAAAATAATTTTGAAGGGAGAAACTAAGATGGCGGCAGAGATAAACACCGGGAAATTAATGCCGCTCACAACAATTGATTAATACCTCAGAGAAACAATACGGACTTCATCCAGAACCATAGGAAGCCTGGCTGACTCTAAATTCTACAAC